GCGGGGGTGCCCTTCGTCCAAGCGCCAGTGTCCACTACTAAGGCCTCCCACTTCCATGAGCAGGCAACAACAGCAGCTGAGGTAGCATCCCCTGTCCAGGCTGAGAAAGTTACTTCAGCTACTGAGGCAGCCTCCTTCCATATGCAGACAACAGGAGCTACTGAAGTATTCTCCCTCCATACAAAGATGGCTACTGAGGCATTCCCCCTCCAGACGGAGACTGCACTGGCTACTGAGGTTGTGGCCCCCCTCCAGATGACAAAGGCAGCTACTGAGGCATCCTTTATCCAGACAAAGGTGGCTACTGAGGTGACCCCTGTCCAGATGAAGATTCCAGTGATTTCTGAAGCATCCCCCTTCCAGACCACAGTGGTTACTAAGAGATCGCCCCTCCACACAAAGCCAGCTACAATGGCAGCTACTAAGGTGCACCCACTTGAGACGCATGCAATGACAGTAACTGAACAGAACCTTGTAGCCAAGGGTGTGGCATCCCCCATGGAGAAAGAGGCGACAGCAGCTACTGAGGCAGCCCTCCTCCAGACGACGCTGGCTAGTGAGGTTGCGGCCCTCCTCCAGGCAATGACGACGACGCTGGCTAGTGAGGTTGAGGCCCTCCTCCAGGCGAGGACGACGATGCTGGCTAGTGAGGTTGAGGCCCTCCTCCAGGCGAGGACGACGATGCTGGCTAGTGAGCTTGGTAGCGGCCCCCCTCCAGACGACGACGACGCTGGCTAGTGAGGTTGCGGCCCCCCTCCAGACAACTGGATAATGGTTGCACCTGGAAGTGACACAGTGGCCTTAGGATCTCAGGGGGGAAAAAAAATCAAAATGGACTACATTTACATCAGGGTCTTGCAGTGAGTCTGTTTTGGGTTTGTGAAGCAATGCAAGACCTGAGTCAAAGATGTACCTGCCTTATTTTGTCCCTGCTTGAATAAAATTCCTAAAACCGCTTTCAGATTATTCATTTGAGTGAGACTGTTGGTTTACTATGTCATGCACCATCTACAGTAGATGGGGTGACTACAAAAGTTCATCTAGATCAACAAAGGTATTGAAGTGGGAGGCCTACCATGTAGGCTTCTGGTTTTTGATATGTGGCTTAGAAAAGGTAAAGCAGTAAGGGTTCACTGCATAGTGATAATGGCTTTAAGAGCTCTCTAGGTCAAACTGTGCTAGTATTCATTTCCTTTGGTAGTTGAATAAGTTTACTTTTGTCACACAACCTAGACTTGATGCGCATTTAACAAATCTTGATCACAAAGGGAAAATGTTTATGGAGACAGGTGTGATCACTGCACAATATAATGGAAGTAGTTGGACCATATGCTACAATATGTGGCCTTATTGGTGTGTTTTTTTTTTTTTTTGTTTGTTTTTTTAACTGACCTGAGATTAAATCAAACTGGGGTTGACAATTGAGCTATATTAGGTGCAGAATGCAAAAAAAGTGCAACACGGGGCCAGAATTTTATGCATTAGAACAAAAGCAGTAAAATCTGCACTTGCCAATTTTTTTGTTTCATTTTTTCTTCTATCACAAATGCAGTTTGTCCCTAGAAAAGGAATGACATTTAATGTTTCATTTCATAATGGGTTTTTTGTCAGGCTAGGATCATTTCTTTCAGTCTTATGACATTCATGGCAAGGTCAAAGTGTTTGTCATATGCACAGTTAGGAAATGTTTCCCTATACAATATAATTCTTTGCCATCCACATGAATGCCACAAAATACAAATGAAATGACAGTTTATATTAAATTTGTCTTCAATATTTTTTTTCTTAAGCTAATATTTTAAAACTGTCTTAAGTATTTCCAGAGAATAAATTTTAATGACTTTGACCTTTTGAGATTTTCTAGTGCCCATGGCAGATCAGAATTTTCAATTAGCCTGTGAAATATCTCAATATCTATTGAATGGATTGACACAATTTGGTAAAAATATCTTAGTGTGTTTATCAAAATATCTCAATAACCAAGTGATGGACAGTGTACAGAGGACACATTTTGAAGAATTTTGTCCCTTCAGTTTTCATTTTTAAGTTATTTTTGTTGATTTGTTTATGAACTGCAAAACTAACATCAGCCTCAGAGGTATACTATGTTGAATGCGTGCTAACCAACTAAACTTGAACAGAAAACATAGTAAACATTTGACCTGCTAAACATCAGCATGGAGCATTATCATTGTGAGCATATTAAGGGTACAGATGGAAGCTCAAGTACAATCTCAAAGAGCTGTTAGACTATCTGTAGATAGTCTATCTTGATGTGAAATAAAAGTGCAAGCTATTATAGCTCTTAAATAAATGTAGTTGAGTAAACCGTGCATTGTTCTGAAATGTAGAACA